GGCGGCGGCCGCGGCGGCGGCGGCGGGGGCGGGCGCGGCGGACGGGCAGGCGGCGGCGGACGACGATAGGGCCCTGCAGGTGAGTTTCCCTCCCAGCAGCCCATTGGGGGAAATTGGCGGAGAGGTGGTGTCGTGTGTTGAGGTTGCTGGTGGTGGAGAGCGGCTGATGTAGCTTCGATTGGTGGAAATATAAAAGGTGTGGGTGATGAGAATGGAAAGGTTCGGTAGAACATTGGGCTATCCACACTTGTTGGGGAAATCGAGTTATTAACATTAAATACAACTTCAAATATTATTCTTTTGGTGTAATATGTTGTTTTTTTTTCATATTCGTTAGGGCATGTTGCAAATGTTTACGTTTAAAAGTGTACTGATTTATGTTATAAAAGTTCTAATTAGATTCTCAATTATGCAGAACTTAAGTTACAGTCCAGGTAGGTAAATGTGGGAAAGCGCCTTGTTCTACCGAGCCTTTCAATCGGTGGTACATATTCAATCTGTCGGTTGAGTGGCATTGATTGGTCACAGATAGATTTGGTTGGTGGGTTATTTCTTAGCAGTCCCATCCGGGAGTTGAGATTTGTAGGTGCAGTTGGAGATTCGTCCTGTAGTTTCGATTGTCGCCGTGGTGTTTCAACTGTTCTGGTTGACGATTGCTTCGTTAATGCACAAGGCACGGAGTGCGTGGATGAGCGAAGAGTAATAGGGCTGCTCAGCGTATCATATTGTTCTGGGCGGGAAAGAAAATTAAAATGAATTTGTTTATATCACTCATATATGTTGTTGAAACCCACCTCACGCGTTCTCAGCTCCACCTCACGCCATATTTAATTCATTCAATCCACTTTTAAATTATTTTTTTACGGGACTGTACATTATATATTACTCGATTATCAGTGTTCTGTGATACAAAATGGACAATAGTTCTTCAATTTAAATTTTACTTACATTTCCAATTTAAAGAATCCTTATATAATAAGTGGTTGTGCAAGAGTCTTGGTCAAGGGAAAATAGTAGAATTATTTAGTTGTTTGTCAACATTAGTATTTGTAAACCTGTGTATACGTGTTTTAATGTTTACTGTGTTTGTAAGAGAAATAATCGGTTTGACTATTTCATTAACACGTTATTGGTTTTTGTTTCTGTACATTACATCTCTGATGATGGAAATATATTAACCGAAACGTTGGAAAACAACAAAATTGTTCAATTATTTTCAATTGGCGAGTTCCATG